GGGCACCACAGTGGGCAACGTCCAGTCAACCGGGACCTCCCTGGTTGACCAGGGCTGCTGGTAAATGACTGAAAGTGGCTCACTGAGCACTTCTGCCAGCTCCCTCAGTACCCCTGGGTGGATCTCATCTGGTCCCACAGATTTGTGCATGTCTCAGTGGTGTAGCAGGCCACTGACCATTTCCCCTTGGATTATGGGGGCTTCATTCTGCTCCCCGTCTCTGTCTTCCAATTCAGGGGGCTGGGTACCTTGAGGACAACCGGTCTCGTTATTAAAGACTGAGGCAAAGGAGGCATTAAGTACCTCTACCTTTTCCTCTTCTTTTGTTACTATGTTTTGCCCCACATGCAATAAGGGTGGAGATTCTCCTTAGCCCTCTTTTTGTTGCTAATGTATTTATAGAAACACTTTATTGGTTTTTTGTCTTGTTTTACGGCAGTGGCCAGATTAAGTTTTATTTGGGCTTTGGCCCTTCTTTTTTCCCTATATAACCTCATGAAATCCTTGTAGTCCTCTCCTGAGTTGCCTGCCCCTTCTTTCAAAGGACATAAACTCTCCTTTTTTTCCCCAGGTTCCAGTCAAAGCTCTCTGTTAGGCCAGAACAGTCTTCTTCCTCACTGTATCGTCTTTCAGTACAGGGGACAGCCTGCTGCTGCACCTTTAATATTTCCTGCTTGAAGAATGTCCAGCCTTCCTGGACTCCCTCCCAAGGGACTCTGTCAACCAGTCTCCTAAACTGAACAAACTCTGCGCCCTAGAAATCCAAAGTAGCAGGACATTGACACCCCTTCCTTACTTCTCCAAGAATCTAAAACTCTATCATTCCATGATTGCTGTGTCCAAGACAGCCTCCAACCATCACATCACCCACAAGTCCTTCTCTGTTCACAAAGAGCAGATCCAGTAGGCACTTTCCCTACTGGCTTACTGACCAGCTGTGTCAGGAAGTTCTCTTCCACACACTCTAGGAACCTCCTAGGCTCTTTCCTCTCTGCTGTGTTGTATTTCCAGCAGATATCTGGTAAGCTCAAGTCTCCTGTGAGAACAAGGGCTAATAATTATGAGGCTTCTCTCAGTTGTTTACAGAATATCTCATCTGCATCTTCATCCTGGTTTGGTGGTCTATAAGAGACTCCCAGCAGGATACCTGCCTTGTTGGCCTTCCCCCTGATTCTTTCCCATAAACATTCAACCCTATCATCACCATCATTAAGCTCTAGACAATCGAAACACTCCCAATCAAAACACTCCCTAAGATACAGGGCTACCCCACTGCCCCTCCTTCCTTGTCTTTCCCTTTTGAAGAGTTTATAGTCATCTATTGCAATACTTCACTTGTGCAAATCATCCCACCATATTTCCATGATGGCAACCAGATCATAGTTTTCCAGCTGTACAAGAGCTTCCAGCTTCCTCCTGTTTATTGCCTACGCTCTGTGCAGTGGTTTAGATGCACTTCAGCTGGGCTTTTTCGGGGGAGAAGCTCTAATTCCTACATGACCATTCTCAGGCACTTCCAGGGTTTCTAACACAGCAGTAACCCTTGTATCTTCCCTGCCACATGGATTTCCATCCCCTACTTCCAATGAGCCAGTAGAATGAAGATCCTCACTAGCACACCAGTACACTGGCATGCTTACCTGGTTTTAACCCTTTCCCCCTTTAGTCTGGTTCAAAGCCCTTTTCATGAGCTCTGCTAACTCTTCCCCCATCTGAGACAAGTGTACACCAGCTGTTGCCAGCAGGCCTGGTGTTGTGTAAACCTACCCACAATCAGCAAACAGAGGAAAACAGTGCTTACCTTATGATATAGCCAACAAGATGATCAGTGTGTGGAAGTACAAAAAGTGATTTTCCAGAAAGGTCACAAGCATTACATAAAGCCGCTGCCCTCTCTGATGCAATAACATCTTCCCCTAGAGAAGTCAAGGAAAGCACAAGTAAGTGGTATGTGGTGCTGCAATGTCAAACTAGTTCTAAAAGCTTGAAAGTCAAGTTATGAACCTTAGGTAGACCTAAAGCTCTAAAAGACATGGGAAAATCTACTAAAGTTAAACCAAGATCACATTCTTTCTTACTTCTTTCAGAATGCTTTGTGCTTCATCCAGCAGAGCACATTGCAGAAACTTCCTAGCAGTTTCTAGTAAAAAAACTACAGGTATGACATATGTTTTTCATTTCATCTCTCACAAAATTATTCTAAAAAAATATTCTATGTCTTGAGAAATACCATAGCATCCAGAAAAGGCAAACACATACAGCAGGTAGAGCGAAAACCAAAAAACAGTCTGCCAGACACTCAAAAGCATACAGCTACAGCTGAAGCAGCAGTTGAATGTAAGGTGAATGTAAGGTTAATGTAAGGTTAAAGTGTATCACATTTCACACCTCCACCTGGCTCCAAAATTTTATTGATTGAAACAGAGTTAGACTGAAAGACCTTTATAGGTAACAAATACCCTTCCTCTAAGTTCTCAGTGCTTTTACTGCTTTTCTTGATCTTAAGCAAAGTTTAAAATGCAACTTGGTTACAAAAAGGCACATCATGTGTATTACGCTAGTAAACTATCTTTGATACTGCATACCAAAAATCACTTGGATTTAAGTGGAAGAACTTAAGGAGAAAAGTATCAAATGTTTAGGGTCAACTGCTGAGTGCTTTTTATCCTTACACTTTCCTGCAGTCACACTTAATGCATGTGGATGACATTAGATGAAGAACTGCAGATAACGTGACAAACAACAGTCAGCTCAGTCCTTTGGGCCTTCTGAAAAACGACAACTCCACAACTGTGCACAGTGTTCAAGTACCTGGAGGCAACGGCGTTTTTTTCTGAATCAAAACCACAGCGACTTTCGTATTTCTCCCCTGCAAACTTTGCCTAAAAATAAAAGACAACACAGCACAGCGTCAAGGTTTCACTTCTTATTTCTGAATAATCACAACAAAAAGAGATTTCAGTCTAGATGGAAGCACTGGAAGAATGTTACATAGGAGAAATAGCCAAATACAACATTCACAGAATGCTGTGTTCCCTTTTTTGGGACAGGATAATTGTGCAGAGTTTAGCAGGCAAAATTTCAGGGGCTGTTTTTACTTAAGTTTTACAAATAAACCACTAAAAAAAGTTTTTTTATTGTCAGTTGTACATTAAAAAGCAAAGCTCAAGTTCCCCTTAATTTGTGCCTAAGAAAAGAAAAAATATATGTTTTATATTCGGCAATTCACACTTACTTTAGCTTTTAGTACATTATGAACCAAGTGAAAAAAGTCTACCTGACAATTTCAACTCGAGTAGCACACTCCAGTTGCTTTTCCTTCCATTGTGGCTCATCCCAGTCTAGTTCATAGAATACCACCACAAGTGCTGGAACCAGATTCAGGTGTTTGTTCATCCAACCAGTCTTCAGGATTCCTTTTGGAATATACCATTCATAGGATGTTCTCTGAAAATATTGAGGATATTAAAGCAAGCTACCAAATCCATTTACAAACATTTTCAGCAGGAGAAAAGGAATTGCCTCTACATTCTTGTCATTCGAGAATATGTTTGTCATGTTTCCTTTAACATTCCTTCCCTTGAGCCTTTTCTCTCTATTAGGACATATCCTTTGATACCTGGCATCAGGGCTTGATGTCTGAGATATCAGCAGCAAAGAACAACAGTATTTCAAGTAGACTGGAGGAAAGGGTCAAGTTCAGAATGTAGCATGTTTCACATACTACCATGAAACATTAGGCTCAGTTTAAAAGAGGGCTCTCAAACAGAGAGACACACCAGTTTAAACTGTTTGCCTTCACCAGTATCATGGAATTATGTAGTTTTCCGAGGCTTAAACCCATTGACATCGCTTCTTAACTTGCCGTGGCAAAGCAGAAAGTAGAGCAGAGATATTCCTTCTGCTGTGTTTTACTTAGCTAAAGGTTTCACGCTTTTTTCAGAACACACTAATTCCAAGTATCTAATTTCTCCAGAGTTAAACTTGAGGTTTCATTAAAGCTCAAATTTTACAAGATGCCTTAGCGCTGAGTCGAAGAACAGCAAGTACTTCAAAAAGTAAACCATGCTGTCTGCTTCTGGCTCGCGAACTAAGGCACCCCGGTCTCCTATGCACCCACAGCGCTCCCTCACAACACCCTTGGCTTCCCCTTTACCCTCACGGTTTCCCTGACTCGAAGCTCCAGCAGCGGGGGCAGAGGCAGCGCAGGTCCGGCCGGGCGCGGTGCTCGGCCGCCTGCAGCCCAGCCCGCAGCCCTCCCCGGGGCCGTGCCGCGGGGACAGCGGGCGGGGGCGCTCGGTACCTTCGTCCGGCACTTGGGGTACTCGTGGTCGCCGGGCAGCACTTTGAAGGAGATGGGGACGCGGTCGGCCCTGCGGTTGGCGCAGAAGGCGTCCCACACGGCGCGGTGCACGGCGTTGTACACCACGTCCAGGCCGGTGAGCGTGACGAACGCCATGGGCCGGCAGCACAGCTCCACCGGGAAGTCCCAGTGCGTCGGCGGGGTCATCCTGCGCCCGGCACGGCGGCCCGCGGGCCGGCGGGACAGCGGCGGCAGAAGGACTGCTCAGGCCGACCGCAGGGGCGCCCCGTTGTCCCGGGTCCGTCCTTCCCGGAACGCCGCTCAGCGCGGCGGGACAGAGCCGGGATAGAGCCGGGAAGCGCCAGCTGGGAGCGGCCGCGGGTCACGGGAGGCAGCGCGGGCCGGCCCCGCCCCAGGAAGCGAGCGCCGGGTGGCGTCGGAAGGGCAGCGCGAGCGGCCAATGGGCGCCTCGGCAGCACCGCCCGGGCCGGCCAGGAGTGACGTCACCGGCCGGGGAGCCAGTGAGCGGAGGGAGGAAGCGCGGGCGGGCGCGCAGCGGGCCAATGGGAGAGCAGGGGGCGGTGCCCCGGTGAGGGCGGGTCCGTGCGCGGGCGGCGGGGCCGCGCAGCCAGGCCCGCCCAGCCCCGGCGGGAACGGGAGCGGGAGCGGGACGGGCGGGGAGCGCGGAGCGGGGAGCGGGGAGCGGGGAGCGGGGCTGCGGCCATGGCGGCCAACGAGGACCAGGAGGTGAGGCCCAGGCCCTGCTCCCTGCGGGAGGGCGAGCCCGGGACGGGAGGGAGGGATGGAGCCGCCGTGTGGGGAGGGGGAGCGGCCCGGCGGGAGGTGGCGGGCACTGGAGCGGTGAGGGGCGGGAGGCAGCAGCCGGGGGTGGCGGGGCCGGGCGGGTGCGAGCGCCGTGCGGGGCCGCGATCGGTAACCCCTGCTCTGCCCTGGCTGCAGATGGAGCTGGAGGCGCTGCGCTCCATCTACGAGGGAGACCTGTGCTTCAGGGAGCTCAGCCCCGTGTCCTTCCAGTACAGGGTAAGGCGGAGTTGCACCCTGAAGTTACTTTGCTGCCGTGTAGTTTCCCTGCCAGGGGTTTCTAAGCCGAAGAGGTGTCCGATGTTCAAATGAAGGGTAGGTCCGTAGGCCGCTGTTACAGGATTTTTGGTACAACGATGCTTCAAAATTCATGTTTAGGAACCTGCTCCCAGTGTGGGTTTATCACAGAATGGGTCAGGTTGGAAGGGACCACAGAGGGTCATGTGGTCCAACCTCCCTGCTCAAGCAGGGTCACCCTAGGAAACATTGCACAGGATTGTATCCAGATGATTCTTGAATATCTCCAGTGGGGGAGACTCCACAACCAGTCTGGGCAATCTGTTCTAGTGCTTGGTCATCTACACAGTAAAGAAGTCCTTCCTTATATTCAGATGGAAGTTCCAGTGCATCACTTTCTGCCCCTTACCTCTCATCCTATTGCTTGGCACCACAAGGCAGTTATCCCTTAGCCTTGTATCTCTGTGCCCAGTGTAGCCAGAATTGTGAAACCGCCTGAAGCAGCCAGCCTGCTGAGTAATACGTCCCCTGGCTGGTCAGAAATGTGGAGACTTACAGAGATGTTTGCATGTAAAACTTTGAACCTTCATTGCTGCTTAGTTACGAGGTTTCGGTCTCTTGTCCAGAGGCAGTTGGAGATGCTCTGTCTGCCTGCTGAAGAGAAAATCTACGAAATGCTTTGGGCACATGCACTGATACAGTTCTGCTCAGGAGAGACATACAAGTAGTGCCAAGCTTAAGACATGTAGCTAGATTATGGCATGAAATTCTCTCCAGCTTTCTCAGATTTAAAGACCTGGAAGTTTTTCTAAGCTTGGACTGAGGCAGATCTTTGGATGGCCAGAGAACTTTACTGACTAAAACTTAGGCACCCGTGGGAGAGAAGGGAGACTTCTGAAAATGCCATATGCCTGTGCTGGGGAGAAGGCATCCAGAATCACCTTTTTGTGACTTCTCAAATAACTTGTGATTAGTGTCAGTAACTGTAACGAGATACGGGTCAATTTAATAATTAGCTCTGGAGTCCCATCCATGTAAATGCAGCCTTTCTTCACTGATAGGATCATTCTTAGTGAATTTAATTTCCTCAGGAGGGGAAACGTGACATGCCTACAAGTCTACAGTGTATTGTTTTACATTTCACCAGCTTTGGTAATTTCTAATTTTTATTAGATGAAAAATAATTGCCAAAAGTTAGGGTAACTCAATTTAACTGCAGTAAAACGTAGTGTCAGACAAAGACAATAATACACCTTTCCCCCAAAGAAGGGTTTGTATTACAAGAAAGCATAATGCAGGTAAGTGAGAAAAAATTCGCACGCCGTCTTTCAGACCGTCACATCTTGCACCTGTCTCACATACAGGGAACAACTGTTTTGTAATCAGTGTGTTTCAAAAGGCTTTTTCTAGATAACAACTTTGATTTCTAACTGATAACTTTATGAAAATAGTTGTTGTCTCAAGAGCTTTTGTTGGTCTAAAAGAAATAAAAGACTTCCGTATTGACATCGTAATTCTTAGTAGGTGGTTGATTTATAAAGTTTTCAACTGGAAACAGTTGATTTATAAAGTTTTTCTTTTCCCTTCAGATAGGTGAAAGTGGTGATCCCAAAGCTTTTCTAATAGAAGTTTCTTGGCCAGAAACATATCCACAAACAGCACCAGTCATATCAATGGATGCTTTCTTCAACAACACAATGTAAGTATTTATGACAGCTTTGCTGTATATATTTATGACAGCTTCACTCCTTGGCCTTGTACATGGGGGCTTTTTGTTTGGTAAACTTTCCTTCATCTGTCTAGTTTATAGTTTATTTTAATGGTTTCTTTTAGATCTGCAGCTATTAAGCGCAGTATACTGGAGAAGTTAATGGTAGAAGTTGAAGCGAATCTTGGAACTGCTATGACATACACACTTTTTGAATATGCCAAAGACAATAAAGAGGTGTTCATGGAAAATCAGCCTGTTAACACTGTGGTAAGTAGATAAATTCAGATTTTACTTTTGTGCTTTTAAAACTGAAAAAAAAATGGTTATTATTTCTCCGAATACTTCATAGGTTGTACATACAACTCTTTAGGTTGTAAATCAGTTCATTGGGTATACACATTAGTGGCTAAGATTGTCACACAGAGTATGGTGCCATGGTGCTCTGTGGTCATAGTTGTTATATTTGATTGTTACTTTGCTGTTATACCAAAATGTTTGTGGGCTGCTGTTCTGTCCCACAGGGTAACATAAAAATGGAGACTTGGAGCAGAAGCAAAACTAAAGGAAACTGAAACAGAGATTTAAGGTGTCTGCTGAGGGTTGGAAGGGTGGCAATTTACTGCAGCCTTCCTGGAGTGCAGTGGATTGCATAAGTCCACCTCCAGAGGCTTAAGGAGTCAGGCTGAGTCAATTTGTGGTTTCTGTGTTGTGTGAGGACATTATTTGCCATCACAGTGCTGCGGATTTGCTTTGAAGAAGAAGAAATGGTTTCCATGTTTGGGAAGTCTGAATCCCTTCACTAAAATGTAAATCGCACTCCATGATTAAATTCGAAAAGTGTAAGAGGTGCCTTTTCCAACTGTAAAAGAAAATAATTCTAGTCCCCAACACATGTTTTTCAAAACTACAGTCCTAATTGTATGTTGATTAAGAGCTGCAGGCTGCTGACAGCATTGCTTCTTTCTAACAGTCAAGATATTTCAGTATGTCAGGTTTGGTAATCACACCACACAGGGGTATTCGTGGAACTAATATGCAAATATTTACAACCACTTTTATCTTTCTCAGACTTCAGTAAGCAATAGTATTGCAACTGGAACTCCTGATGTGCCTGCAAGTAAGAAAAAAGAGAAAAAGGAGCAGTTATCCAAAACCCAGAAGCGAAAGCTAGCTGATAAAACAGGTTTGATTACTATAATATTCTTTTTTTTGTCAGTATGAAAATCCAAATTTTATAGTAATGACATCTTGCTGGAGTCAGAGTCAGTAGTTTGTTTATAAGATTAACTACTTTAAATCTCTGGTCTCTGTTTTACTTGTTCTACATAAATTATTCTTGCCTGAGATGTTAGTTCTGGTCAAAGCAACTTTCTACAGAGTAGGGATTTCACAATGTCATTGTTTTTTAGGTTTTTTTTTTTAAATTCAATTTGTACCAAAAGTGAAATTTTCAGTACTCATTGGAGGAGAGGATTTGGGACCTCTATTGACAAAAGATGTTGGTTTTTTGATGGCCCCTCATAAATTATTCACATTATTAAAAATGTAATTTCTAAATTAAAGTATTTGTTTTGGAACCCAAAATGAAACACCTGATTTAGTTTGTATTTTAGAAATAGAGGTGTTTCTGCAGATATTTAATGCATTCAATGAAATAGTAGTGTTTTGATTGAAAGCTGTTGATTATTTCAGTTAATTCTGCTAATGACTCGTGTTCAGCCTCAGCTTTTAATAATGATCTGAATAATACAATCCTATTGCAGCAATAAGTTGTACACTTGATAGAGGTTTCTGCATATATTCTCCCTAACCTAATGTATACTTGGTAGGCTTAATGTAAAGTGTATAAAGGAAAAGCTGCGTAAAATTTTGTTCTTTGACACAATTCATCATTGCTAGTCAGCCCAGCTCATGTTGGAGTTACCTTCTAAGTTAAATTTCGGGTGGACTGAGGTGTTTTTATTCAAACGGAATTACTTTGAATCACATAATCACAGAATCATCAAGGTTGGAAGAGACCCTCAAGTTCATCCAGTTCAACCATCAACCCGGCACCACCATTATCATCCCTAAACTGTATACCCAAGGGCCACATCTAGATGTGTCTTGAACACTTCCAGAGATGGTGACCTCTCTGGGCAACTTATTCCAATACCTAACCGCTCTGTCAGTGAAAAATGTTTTTGTAATATCTAATCTGAGCCTCTCCTGCCACAGCTTAAGGCCATTTCATCTCGTGCATTCACTTGGGGTTGGTTGAAGAAGAAGGTGTGTTTAAGACATTAAAATCTGGGTTTGTCCTCTGGGCTTCATAGTGGAGAAATTGAGGAGTTTGGATATTTAGAATTTTGTGTGTTGAAAATGAAACCTTCTTATTCTGCAGATAACAAAGGGGAGCTTCCACGAGGATGGAACTGGGTGGACGTAATTAAGGTAACATGACTGTATTATATGCAGTATTATTAAACTACTGTGTATGTACATTAAAAATGATTTGCACTTGTATCTGAAGAAAACTGATCTGATATATTTTTTTCTTGCTTTTCTTCCAACTATGTTTGGACTTGACTATGGTGTCTGATTAATTTCTATATGTGTCCAGCATGTAAGTATTTTCAAGTTATCTTTTTTTACTGTAAGTGAAGAAAGAGTAAGAACAGTTGCTTATTTTGGGTTCTAAGTTACATATTTCTCAAATGCTTTGAGCAACTTTGGTTGCTCTTTGACCTTGGTTGTTTTAGCATTTATTTATTGAGCAGCTAAATTTTAGTTTTGTGATGAGAGGGCTTTGCTGACCAAATGTACTGAAAGTATTCTGTCTTCATACGACAACACGATTGAAAACAAAATTAGTGCTGCTGTTAGGTTCTGGAGAGCAGTGGATAGGTAAGCAGAAAAAGGGAGCTGTGTCAAGTGGGAGCAACTCACAGTCTCCTACAAGCCTGATTCTCTGCTACAACTACTCCAGTGGATAATTATTTTCTATGTACTCCCTCAGCATTGAATTTTTCCACCCTCTTGTGTTTGCTGATCCAGTGAAAATCACTGATTGACGCTTTTGAAAGCAAACTCTTTTATTTTACACAACTCTGAGTAATTTCAGTGTAATTTTCAGTAATTTTCAGTTCTAGTTGTTAAATAAGAGCAAGTAAATGATGAGGGTGGTTTTGGGCAGAGTCTTTCTGAGTTATAAGTGGCTATTTCTAGTGGATATTTTGGATTCCAGATAGATTTCATAACAGGTGTCCTACATTTAATAATTATGAATTTAGCTTTAAAAAGTGAGAAATATGAAGTTAATGTCTGTTTTTATATTGTTTAAATTTCTATATGGGAATTCTCCCAGACATGTGTAAAAATAATGTTCCATTACTTCATCTTTTTTATTTTGGAGAGCTGGATGGAGCCTTCAAATTAAATAGAAACAGTACCCTGAGGTTTTTGCGGGGTTTGTTGCTGGGTTGTTTTTTTTTTTTAATTTAACTTTCATGTTCAGGAAGTAAGTTCATTTAGTGTTTAAATTTAAGAACTAATTTTGATGCTTTTCAGTCTCTTGGTACAGTAGCACAGTCTATATTGTTAATTAAGTATACATGTGTTCAATGTGAGATGGAGATAATGTTGTTCTTGTTTCCTAATAAATGGAATGGCAGTCTAAACTTTGAATACTTTCTTTTTGTGTCTCTTTTATAGTTAAGCAAAACTGGTTCTAAAGATGATGAATAAAGGACTTTGGTACAAGGAAACTCCACCTTTTAATACAGTGCAATTTTGGGTCACCATCTCTCTCTTAATAACTTTTGTATTTGCTGAAGTAAACATTTTATAAAGCTCAATTTCCTAACTTGTAAATCTAGTCACACAAGTTTATCTAGAGACTATGTGGTCTTCTTTGGAAAAAAAAAACAAACAACAAACTTGCCTTAAATGAAGGTTAGATTGTGACCAAGGATATAGAGAGCCAGTGTGGTGAAGTGAATAGTGCTGCAGTGTTTTTTAATTTATATTTTAGTCTGTAGTAAAATCCTGTTATAGTGAACCCAATGATACTGTATGATACATTTCCTAATGTTCTTATTCCAACTGAAGAAAAAAGCACTATAACAGTGATTGGTCACCTGACAGCTTAATTCATCAAAATAAATTATTCCATGGAAATAATACCTTTGTCATTTTTTATCTAATATGAACATAGAAGGAGAACATAAAAAGTGTTACATTGCAAAACAGATTAAAGCTTGTGGTCCCATTTCACTAGCTAAAATTGCAAATACTAGTGAAAGCAAGGCCAGATATTCTAGTCTGCTCAAAAATGAGTGGTTATAGCAGAAGTGTGTCTTCTTTACTCTCGCAATATCCCATCTGTTGGTCTTTCTCCAGAGTGCATCTTTACAGATGGCTGGATGTCTGAGGGGCAGGAAAAGAGCTTTCTTGCAGTGTCTCAATAAGTGTTGGGATTTTGTAGCTCTTTCACTGGAGAAATGGGCATTCTTTAGAGGGGTTTGCTGACTGAGTGGTGGGACAGTGGATTTGTCAAACATATCAGGAGAACTCTTATTTGGGTGAGCTCTTTTTTTCTTTTTTTTTCCCCTAATCTGCCTCCCTTGTATGAGAAGTCATCTTTACTATATAAACTGTTATTGAATACAAGATGCCTTAATGTTCTTTATTATTTTTGTTTGTTTTGAGGTGAACTTTAATAAATGCCTATTTATCTGCTGTGGTATGTGTTTATTTTTTTTTTTTAATTGTGTGTTGCCTACTGTGCTGTGCAAGTTTGGGCTTGCAAAAGCTTTCTTTTACAAAGAAAGCGTTCTTAAAAATTGGTGGAAGAATTCTGCCTTCCCTCTTGTGGTGTGTGTTTATACTCAGGGTAGCCGTGTTACTAGTATGAGGGTAGTCACCTCACTGAGAGTTACAGGGACAGTATCCATTGTGTTCAGTACACACAGCAAGTCCATCATCCCTTTGAAAGAGGGGTACACTCCATGGTGTACAGCACTCTTCTTCCCAGAGAGTTGTGATTTCTTCTTGAACTCGACTCTCATGTAGTGAAAGGTTGTAAGGTACACATAGAAGGACCTTTTCCAAACAATTAAGTCTTGCCTTTGACATAAACTGGAGGCTCATGGCTGTACCCTGAGCAAGAGTGTCTGGTGGGGAGTACCACTGCAGGGAGAATTTGTCTGGCAGTATATGGTGAACCTGTGACAGGGAAGGGCACTTAGCTTTAGTCTCTGCCCAGTGTCAGAACAAGCAGGACTCTTTCTATTCACTAGTTTCCCAAGGGGAATTGACTTGTCTTTGCTGGTATCCTTGGTGTATAAATCAAATTACCATGACAATTTATCTGATTAAAGATTAGGAGGGTGGTGGAAGGACAAATAAGAGACCACATCTCTTGCTTTTTATAGTGGTACTGTGTGTAACTTGTTAACCTCATCGTGAGGCATTGTAAAATGCCTCATTTTTCAGCTCCTAGTCTCTGTGTAAATCACGTGCTCTCCTGAAGATATCTGAGTCTCCTCTGGTTCTGTTAGTAAATGTACCTGTTTTGTGTGCCCACCATGTCCTGCTCACCCCTGTGGTCAGCCTGGCACAGATACACTGAAATCAAGGCTGATAACTTTCTGCAGTCCTGCTTCAATTGGTTGTAGGTGGGGTGGACAGATAAAGTGTGCCCAACTAGATGAGCAATTAGATTTGGGTGAGTAAAAGCCCAGTAGGAAAACCGCCAGCATTTCTCCATAGAGGACCTTTGATAAAGGGCAAATGTAGAGAGACTGACTAACCTCCTTTCACCTGAGGCATACAAATGATTTTGGGTTATACCATGAACTTTGTGCTGTGAAAATCCTTGAACTGGTCTGAACCAGAAATAGTTCCCCTTTGGAAATTGTTTCCTTCAACAGGGTGGCACCCTAAGCACTTGCAGTTAACAGCAGAATGGAGAGGGAAGGAAACGTTCGTTCAACAGAGAAAATACCAGAAGCGTGAGAATTCTGGGTGGACTGGAGGAGGAAGTGGACAGGGAAGAACATGCTTCTATACAAAACTAAAAGAGTACAGGGGATGAATTTTTGCTGTGCAGTACAATACAACAAAACAAAAGCCAAGCCTGTTGTTGCACAGCTATAAAGTCTGTCATGAGTTTGAGCTATGGTAAAGGACAAGAGGATTGTGGATTTTCTTTCTGTCACTCTGGTTTCTTTCACCAACATGGACTTGGCTTCATCTCAGAATGGGTCTGCTTTGTGCTTATGAAAAGATATTTCTGTTTGACTAATTTATGCTTTCTGCTATTCTCTTTCTGGGCAGGGGAAGCAACCTCTGAAAGCCTGATGTAAGATAAGACAAAGCATACTGACAAGGCATTGGAAAATATTTTGTGTGGGTAAAAGAAAGAATTAATTGCTTCTCTCTCTTCTTCATTCAGAGCAGTGAGGAGTTAGTCCAAATGGCTGAATTACATAAGACATGAGAAGCTATACCCAGGGACTGGTGTACTATGTCAGCCTGAAAGTGTTACATAGGTATACCTTGCTACTGTGTCTGAGCATTCATGCCTGTTGTTCCTACAGATGTTTGTGTTTAAAGTATTGATGCTAAGAATAGGCAGAAATTTGAAAACTCTTATTAGTGTGATTGCCTACTGCAAGCTGCTTATGTTGTAAGGTAAGGTTGTAGCAATGAGAGAGAAAGCCAAGCTATAACTGGACAGCCTTGTTGGAGGGGAGTGGTGTTGTGGGGGTGTCTCTGAGGGCATAGTTTCTTGTGCTCTATCTTTATGATCAGAAAGGAGAAGTCAGCCTAGTATGAGTTTGGAAGATAACATTCAAGAAACTATATGGAAGGAAAAAAGCTATCCTTTCTCAAGGAATTAACTGCCATAGTGCCACTGAGAGGCAATAAACACAGTCTTGTATAGAGCCACTCTTCAGAGCAGGATCTTACTTTAAATCAAGTAGGAGTCTCTGTCAGTTAATGCATTTTATGATTTCCTGCAGGAAAAACAAATGTGAAGAGAGCGTTAGTATGTAAAGAGCTGCTGACTCCACTGTAGGGAACCATTTGATCTGTACTTACAGTGAAAGCTATGGTTCAATTGACCTTGAAGAGATATTTTGTAATAGTACAGGGAAAATGTAGCAGCCCATTGATAAAAAGTACATAGCCTCTATAGATGATTAACAAATTCTGTACAGCATTATCAGTTTTATAATTTTCTGTGAAGATCTGTGCTAGAATATTACCAGGTTTCAGTTGACTGATATATAGCGTCGTTATGATTTTCATTTCCCCCCTTCATGCCATACGTCTTTAGATGATAAAAGTACAGGATGTAGTATAGAAATTTCTTTCCAAAATCAAAATAGTGCTACAGTTACAAATCCACTCAAAGGAAATAATTGTACTCAGAAGTAAGGATGTGCCGAAATTAAAGCTACCTGTATGATGTTTGTATGAGAAGGAATTCATAAGAAGATTTTCTTTCTGTGACTACCTGTTCTTCAGGTTTTGTTTGTGGGGGTTTTTTTCCCCTTGTAGTGTCAAGCAGGCAGCCCCTGGTGGTCTAGTGGTAAAGGTGCCGCGCTATCACCGCGGAGCCCGGGTTCGATTCCCGGTCAGGGCCACTCCCGGGCAGGTGGGGCTCGTCAGCCCTTAAAGGCAACCCACCTACGTCCTAAGGATCTCACTGCCACCGTCCAAGCTCGCTTGGCCCCGGCAGATGAACCTTAGGATTAAAGGGTGGGCTCAGTTCCGCGCACACTGTGTCTCACCTAAAAAATCCAATGCGCAGGCTGGAAGGTGTAGAGACCTTCCCCGGATCTTCGCTCGCGAAGACTGGCCATTATTTATTATTAGTGTCAAGCAGATGGTTACTGCTTTTCTTTCTAGTGTCCCTCTTAGTAGGAAAGTAGTACAGAAAATGAGTTTTGGTATGCTCCTAAGCTGGAAAAGAGAGCAAAGTTTTCACTTCGTGAAAGTAAGTAAAGTAACAGAACTGTCCCTGGAACAAAGTGGACATTTGAAACAGGATGACCAGGTATAGAGGCAAATTACTTTGCTTTAGTAAAACCAAACAGATCTGAGTGGCTTTAGTCTGCTTCAGAGTTTATCTCCATGCAGTGGATCTGTGACCTCTAAATGCTTATGGATAAATTTAGGCTGGGTGTATAGCTGCAGTTCATGTGATTAAACACTGCTTTCAATACATTTGTGTTACAGAAATCTGTGCAGATTCTATTGTATTGGTAATGAGCTCTAGTTCCATCCCTTTGCATTTGATGGAAGGAGAGGAGATACACTGTTACTGCTCTGGGATGAAAGAATTCCGCATGCATGCTGTCAACAAAGGCTGCCCGGACTTGGTTAACAGGCACTACAGTCAGTCTGACAGCATTAAAAAGGTGAAGTTCTACAAGATAATTTAGTAGCCTTATCTTAATGTGGATACACTATTTTTGTGTATTTCTTTTTTTTTTTTTTTTGTTAACTTGCTTATGATGTTTAAAATGCTCTAAATACAAGCAGATACACTGGCTTATTAGCTAGTGTGTGTATGTGTCAAGTGACTAACTGTTCAGTCAGATGAGTTCAAGAGCAGTTGCTCTGTGTTTCCTGATTTCAGGGCATGATGAGAGTTCTCTAACTCTTCTCACAGTGCCTTCCTACAGGTAATCGTCCTCCCCAGTTTTCTTCCTGTCATGGGCAAAAAAAAGGTACTGAGCATCACTGTGTGTCTCCCACTTGTTTTATTTCCTCCTGTTTTAAATGTATATATTTGAGGCCTCTACTACAAGCTCTGACTGGTAAAGATAGGGCCGAATCTCTTTGTGATCATCACAGTAACCTTTGTTTCAAAGACACAGACCCTACTGTGCTGCATTGATGAATGCAAAGAAAGCAGGGGTGGTCACTGTCTTGCAGGATCAGGAAATGGGGAAGAAACGTGTATTACATGCACATGCATGGCGAATCACATTTTAACCCTTCTGCTCACAAGACACATGAGGAGACACACGCTGAATGTGAAAAGCGAACAACTTCCTTGGATATCTGTTCAGAGAGAGAAGATGATGGAAGTACTGAAGAGAGGAAAGAAAGAGGAAGGAACATCTTGAGTCTGGAGCCTTAAGAACATGGTTGGTTACTCTTCTGAAAAATAGGGTTGATAAACATACATTGTTTCTCTCTATGTTAAAATATCTCAAAGGTATTTTAGAAGATGATAAAATATTTTTAAAGGTCTTAATGATAAACCATTGAGGGGAGGAAAGAATGTCACTAAAAGAGAGTTATACACAGGAACAAATCTAGAAATTCTGATTTGGAGCTGTGAGATTCTTGTATACCAAGCAAATGCAATTTCCATTACTTAAGACGTGGAGATAACTCTAAAGCCTAGCTTCATCTTTCCAGTGAAATTCTGAGTAGTTTAATATTTTGAGTGTTGCAAGCTCAGAGTTTCATCTGCTGCAAGGAAGGGTAGTGCACAAAATTTGGATTTAGATGTGTATTTTGCAATTGCGAATTCAGCTCATCAGTATTTAAAGTGTGTCTTGTGAGCAGAATGGTTAAAATGTGATGTGCTACGCATGTGCATGTAAGTGCAGTCTGGGTAAGGTGCATCGTTGCATCATATCACTTAAGGTTTGAATGGACAAAGTATATCCCCTGTAAGATTATCTGTCTTATTGGAGAAATATTTATCCTCTGACTCATTTGAAGCTTTTGCCATCAAATGCAGCAAAATAATCCATACAGCGGCAAGCAGCATCTCTGAATTCTTCCCATGTCACTTGACCTTGCTTCCACTGGGCATACTCCTTCCTTTTTTGCCTTATTTCCAAGAGAAGATCCCTGTTCAGCCAAGCCTGCCTTCTGCCTCACCTGCTTGACTTCCGACCTTTGGGAGTCGCCTGCTCCTGTGCCCTTAGGAGGTCATGTTTAAAAAATGAGCAGCACTGATGGACCTCAGCATCTGAAAAGAAAAGCATTTTCCCAGGGGATCTTACTAGTTTCCTGAGCAGCCTGAAGTCTGCTTTCTTCATGTCCATTTTGTTTCAAGCAGCCTACCAGGTCAGTGCTGCTTCTGTTCAGAAGGGATTCAGTAAAGGAATAAATGTGAGTTTTCTTCCAATCCATTAAGGGCAAGAATTTATACTTCATTAATCTGAAAGTGGTTCACTTCTTTAATCACTGGAAGTTTTATTTCTGAGTGCTTGCATGGTAGATGTACTAATTGTAAAGAGTTTCCTTACACATTATATTGTGCAAAGGAATAGTATCTTTATTTAAATGAACAGCAGTGCTTTTCTTATTATACCAAGAAGTGCAGCACTGGAAGCTATCTGAAGGAATATATTCACGGATCTTTATTAATGATGCTGGTAACACTGTCATCAAATAGGCATGTGACATTTTATCCCTGTCTTAGAGATGGTGTAACTGAGGCCCAATTGAGATATATACTTGCTAAAAGAGAGGTCATAAGTCTCAAACCTGTATCTGTCCATCTGCCAAACTGCAGCAGTTTGGTGGGCTTGAACTGCACCTACCTGAAGTAGTGGTGTTCTTTAATCACCTTTTATGATTAAAGCAACTTATTAGTTTTTCAGTATGTTCTCACAGCTTGTCTTTTAGTCATCTTCATAATATGTTTTACAGGGATATTTCCAGCAAGGATCTGTGCACAGGCAGCAAGCTAGGAGGAAATGGCTGAGTGCTTTCCAGAAACTACGTAACATATTTCAAGAGGATGCTCCACTTGCTCTCATAGAGGAAGCATCCGCTGAGCTTCTTGAGACAGGTGAGAGAAACCCAAAATTAAGAGAAGGGCACTCAGCCAGAATAATCAGCAATACATTATTTCCTAAAAGAGGGAAACAGACTAGTTCTACTAATAAAATAAGTTAAAGACATCACAGGTTTTGGCATTCATCAGAATCTTGTGAGAAGACAAGCGATACTTCAGTGAGTGTGTTACCACTGTAATAAAGATGTAAAATAGACTTTACTTCTCAATAACCCTAAATGCCTTTTTCTTTGCAATGTGCTGTTTAATTCACTTAAATATATGTAGCTCTTTCTATAATCTGCAGGCAACTCTTTAGGCTGTACTAGAGGATCAGAAAGCCTGGAGTTTGGCCAAACAAAATAAAACACATGCTGTGAAATTCTATTTAACTGCAGCGAATAAAATGACTACTGCAGAATGATCTTAATTAATGCAATAATAATTTAAAAGCAAAGCTACCCATTTCATTATTTTTCTTACAAATAGATGTTTTCTGGTTTTCACATGAAGAATAAAGGAAAATCAGATGTTTTCTTTGAGGTTCAAAGTGGCTGTGCATCTGAGCTAACTTAGTCACTTAGTACTTCTTTCTTAGCACAGAACTATGAGTGTTGTAAGCAGGTTCATACACATCCATTGGGTTCCCAGTCCATGATACATGAGCAGGAGGATTCATAAATTTACAAATTAATTAGCCAGCAGAGACCACATGGAGGATTCAGTCCTACATGTCTACAAACAAGTCAGTCTCTAGTGTATATGACTTGCACGTATGTCCCTCACCTCATAAAACTCTTACGTTACTTAATATAAGTGCAAACATATGAAGCAGCATAAGGGGATAGGAACTAATTAAAATAATTCTGGGGGAAGTTTTTGGGATATTTCATCCATTGCTTAGAATTCCAATTAAAATTACATATCTAGTGAAGAACTTCTGGTATCAGGTTCTTATTTGTATCTGAAAGTGGGATGGCTTCCTTTTTAAAAGGAGAAAAATATTAATTAGAAAAAATAGTTTTTTATAAGTTCTACAGTTTTCTTTCGGAATGCAAGTTGTGATGTGATACATGCCTGCAGCTTAGTTATCACAGAATCATGGAATGGTTGGAAGGGACATGTAAAGGTTGTCTATTCCAACTCCCCTGCAATGAGCAGGGACATCTTGAACAGAGCCCTGTCCAATCTTACCTTGAATGTTTTTAGGTATGAGGCGTCTGCCACCTTTCTGGGCAACCTGTTCCTGTGTTTCACCACCCTCATCGGTAAAAAACTTCTTCCTTATATTTAGTGTGAATCTACGCTCTTTTGGTTTAAAAGCATTACCCCTTGTCCTATGACAACAGGCCCTGCTAAAAAAATTGTCCCCATCTTTAGTAGAAGCCCCCTCTCAGTAGTGAAAGGCCACAATCAGGTCTCCGCAGAGCTTTCTCTTCTCCAGGCTGAATAATCCCACCTCTTTCAGTCTTTTCTTCATAAGAGGTGCTCCAGCCCTCTGAGTGTTTTTGTGGCCCTTCTCTGGACTTGCTCCAATAGGTCTATGTCTTCTTTGTGTTGAGGACCCCAGAGCTGGATGCAGCACTCCAGGTGGGGTCTCTCCAGAGCGGAGCAGAGTGGCAGAACCACCTGCCTCGACCTGCTGGCCACAGTGTTTTTGATGCAACCCAGGACTTGGTTGTCTTTCTGAGCTGCAAACACACATTGATGGCTCATGTCCAGTTTTTCATCCTCTGAGCTGTCTTTAAGCATAATGTAACTCCATAAGCAATTAAATGAGCAGACCATACAGTTGCTTAAGTTGGTTCTAAGACTAAACAGTATGGGCTTGGTCCACCAAAGAACATGAACTCATGTGACCATTCTTACCCCAAATGTTTTCACACTAGATTACAGTTTTCTGATGGGAACATTGTGGGTTTTTTTTTCCAAAACATCTGTCAGTATGTGATTCAGACCAACAAGTAAGCTTCTGAATGAAAAAAAACAAACACAGGGATGCAAGAGTCAGTTTGGTTTATTGGTGCCACTTATGAGAGCAGAAAAGTATGACTAATTTTAAGCCTCTGCAAACACCAGATTGCTGCTATTTGCAAAATTTCCATGCATTTTGCAAAGGTAATAAAAATATAAGTGTTGTTTGTATAGCGCAGAAATTACTGATGTTTATTTTAATATAAGAATTATCACAAATTGCCATTAGCATAACCCCTGCATTTGGGATACTGCAATACAGTGTGCTCATTGTTCTTGTGGAAGGACCTAGATTTGTGCCCAAGAATATAAATTATATAATATGCTCTAATTTTCAGTTGTTTCAGCTGATAAATGTGTGGGCGTGCTTATTTTGTAAGTAAGAATTCACAGATTTTAAACTCCTTTTAACAAATAAAGAATCTTTAGAGTGTGAGATTTTTGAAATAATGAATATTTTCTGAATCCCACCAACAAAATATCTTTCAGGAAGGGCATCAGGCTTTAGGCCTCTGCCAAGGTTTAACCCCAGCAAGCAACTAAGTATGATTGAGATGCTTGCTCAGTCAACCCATTCCTTGTGGTAGGAAGAAGAATCACAAAACACTCCCAAAACTTGGGGATTGAGATAAGTAAGAACTGTTTATTAATTGAAATATAATATAATACTACTACTAAAAATAATTGTAATGAAAAGGAGAGGAATAAACCCCAAGACAGACAAGCAATGCACAATACGGTTGCTCACCACCTGCTGACCACTGCCCAGCCTGACCCCGAGCAGCCATCGACAGCTCCCATCCAACTGCTCCCCAGTTCAGATATTGAGCATGACATTCTGTGGTAGGGAATATCCCTTTGGCCAGTTCAGATCAGCTGTCCTGGCCGTGCTCCCTCACAGCTTCTTGTGCACTTCCTTGCTGGCAGAGCACAGGACACTGAAAAGTCCTTGTCTTGGGGTAAGTACTACTTAGCAACAACCAAACATCAGTGTGTTATCAACATTATTCTCATACTGAATCCAAAACACAGCACCATACCAGCTACTAGGAAGCACCTCTATTCCACCTGAAACCAGGACAGCCCAAAATACCAGTCAGGAACACAGACCCAAGTGAATATTGTCATTGAAAAAAAAAAAAAAAAAAGAAGCGTGTTAAACTACTTCTTCAATTTATTTTACTCAATATTAGGTGCTGAAAATCAACTTCCATCTGGACTGAAACACTGGTCTCTTTTCTTCCCTGAATTTGAAGGGAGTTTAGTTCTGGCAAGAACCTTGCATCTTCCACTTTTCAGCACAAATGTGTTAAGTTGCAGCTTTAACTCTGATCTCAGTTGTAATCATTACTCAGCGGGGGTATTTATGTGTATTTTTAAGCAAAACATAACAACTTCCATGTTTTTTTGTTTTGTGGTGGTTACCTTTGGCAGTAGTTGTGGTCTCTGGAGCGTGCATTACCCACCAGAGGGAGCTCAAGCCAAGAACCGTCTGATTTTCATAGAATCATGCAATCATTTAAGTTGGAAAAGACTGGTACGGTCATTGAGTCCAACCAGTAACATAACACTGCCAAGTTCACCACTAAACCATGTCCCAAAGTGCCACATCTACAGTCCTTTAAATACCACCAGTGATGGTGACTCCCTGGGCAGCCTGTTCCAATGCTTGACAACCCTTTTGGTGAAAAAATTTTTGCTAAAATCCAACCTACCTTCTTCTGGAGCAACGTGAGTTGTCCTTTCAATTCCCAGGAGGTTACTGGTGAAAGTCCTCTCTTAAACTTCACAGGGCTTTGGATTTGGGCATCTGTCATCAAGTTAACTTGAGAGCAGATGGCAACCAGGTAAAGAAATAAGTGCACCTCCCTAAGCTCCCTCTTTTGGGAACTGTCACATCAGTGTCAAAGCAAGCAAAGCAAAATCCTGTGATGTATATGTCATCATTCTTTGAGTTTTGTGTATGCTGTTCTTTGTAACATGAGCAAGGCCACCAAAATTGTACAAAATAGAAATATCTGTGAGAGTAAAGTAGTATTCCCTGAGAAAATTAGGCCAGGTAGAAGCAAGTGTGAATAGGTTATGTTTGTCTCTCAAAATTCCTGACTACAAACAGTAGTCATTAATCATCTAGGCTATTATCTCATGGCATTAAAATGTATTACAGACATTAATACTACTGAGATAATACTCTGGAATGTGAAGACCACAGGCATATGGCCAAGTTACTTTCAGTTCATCTTGGAGGTGAGTGGTTTCGTTTCTGTTTCCATTTCTTAAATAAAGGAGAATTTTTTTCTTTGGATTTGAATAAATTCTGAAAGGATCATGCAAATGGAAGTCTCAAACTATTGATATTGTCATTCCATATTCTATTCCTATAATCTATTCTGCTTTACCAGGGTATATTGTTTAATTTCTTACTGTCTCACATAAAGATCTGTAACAAGGTTGCAATGAAAAACAGTGTGCCATGTGGTTAAAAAAATTAATACCAAATGACTTAAGTGCTGTGAAATCATGTGACAAAGGAAATGGGCTTAAGTAGTGAATAAGTCTATTCATATTTGTGAAAATACAAGAAATGGGAATCAAATTTCCTGTGAATTTTGTGGTATTTTAAGGGAATTTAAATTAAGTTCCAAATGTTATGTTTGCTCCTTATCACTGAAATGTACCCTAATCCTGAAAATCTCCATTCTGGAAACCAAGGTATGATTTTCAGTGCTGTATGCAAGCTTCTGCTGCTACCTCAATAGTTTATCAGTAAAATGAATACTAATATCAAAGATCTAGAATTGAATATACATTTTAGGTTTTCTTGTAATAATATGATATTTAAATGAGATTAAAATGATATTTAAATCAAATTACATTTGATGGCATTAAAGTCAAACAATGGCTTATTCTAAAAAATGTCCTGTGCAGCCTGGCTCAGGAAAAGATACCTGGAAACTTTTCTTCCAGACACAGATGTTGTGGTAAGACAGTTGAAGAGAGAAAGTTTTGCTAATTTCTACTTTCTCTGTAAGCCAGATTGCATTAGGCTTTATACATAGTGATCAGCACCCTGTATTTCACCTACAAGGTTAAATGATCACCACTGCAAACATTTGTGTACCTGGCCTTTGTGTACTTACCAAAAAGGTGGCAAAATCCAGATAGACCATTCAAGCAACTTCACAAAATAGTCCTAGTAAAATAACCACAGACACAAGTGTTAACCGCAGAATATTCTATTCCTGTGTTACAAATGCCTTTTTTTCCCCCCCAGTTTAACCTTAAATAGGTAGGTGTTTCTCCTGAACTTCTTTGGTTACCCTTTTGTAACCAAAGGGGAGAGAGCTACCTTCAAATGGAACTTGGCTGCAAAGATCAATAACCAGTAATTGGCTGTTAGCACAAACAAGGCAAAAAATACAACTGTTATTTGAGACACTGTGGTTATACAGAATTGTTCCAGGCACATTCAACATATACAGATATTTGATGTTTAAACATTGCTTTTCTTTAAGTTTAGGGCAGGTAGCTGACAAGACAACATGAAAAGCACAATGTTGCCTTTGAAAAACGTGACTGAAACCTTCAACAGGTGATTTGGCCAAAAAGAACACACAAAATGTACTATGTTCTGTAATTTGGGGGCTGGATTCAGAACTAACATAATGAACACAATGCTGAGCATTGCATCCAGTTAAAACCAAGTTGAACATAAAGAGTTAGCCAAAGGGCTCATCCTTGCAACACCTTGATGTGCAGACTTTTGTAGACCATATCTCAGCCAAATTATAGCAAAAAAAAAAAGGATTTTTTTTTTAATAGCAATTAATTATGAGAGCTCAGAACTCCAAAAGTGAACTTCCAATTCCCACTGGTTTCAGTGAGGCCCGGATTTCATCTCTGTGTTGCAACTGGATACATATATATCTGTGCTGGGAAATTGGAGATGACTGCCATGGAATTATTCAAAAGATTCATAAACCGAGCCACTTGAAACATTAAAACACAACAGAGACAACTCTGTAGGCACAATAATTACTAGTCATAAATTGGGAGTGGTTTGGGGTTTTTTGTCTTGGAGATGTCATTTACAGGAACCTCAGTGCTGGAGTGGTTACGGTGTGAAACAGTAAAATCAGAATGCTATGCTGTTAGATTGGAAAGGGTAGAAATCATTGAAATTGAGCTGATGAAGGACATAGAACTCTTTATATTTACAAACAAGGGATTTCTCTCTCTTCTGGATCCTCCAACACTCATTTTTCATGTACTAAATACAAATTTACTTATAAAATAAGTTTGGGGGGTTGTGCATGCTTATGCGTTTTTTTTTTTACATTTCTGTAAAACCTAATTAAACAAGACATTTACTTAGATAATTAATTACACAAAGGAGGCAAGGCATTTTTGAAATATGTTTTTACTAGACTCTGTTAACTTATGACCTTTTGAAAAAAGTATGTGAAGAAACAGTCAGGTCATTATATCGTTCATTGCCAAAGTAAAGAGTACAGGATTCTTGAATTCTACTGCTTGGCCTCTCTGAGATTAGGTAAGAGTTTGTCTCTGGCACTGACTGCATCATCCACAAAGTTTTATGTATAGAAAAAAATCATATGTTTATGCTCCATAAAACTAACTGCTAAATACTTTTAATTAGAGTGATTGTTCAGTCAAGCATCTTAATTTCTTTTACTTTCTTGAGTCAGTAGTTGTTAGCATAAAGGTCATTCTCTTAAAATCCATCAGATACTTGTGGGAGTCTCTAAATAAAATCTGAAAATAAGCAACTGTTTACAGTATATTGTGTGTCTGAGTGGAAACTTTAAGTCTGGGTAAGGTCAGCTTTACTTCTTAGTTTCAAAGCTACTGTTGGACCCAAACTGTGAGCTAAGGCCCCATTTTCCAGAAATGGAGAGAGACAAAAGAAGTTGCTTTCTGTGGAGAAAACTCTCTAACAGTAATAAAGACCTCACTGGAGCAGAAAGATGCAACTCGTTCTTCCCTGTGCCTGTTGGACTGAGTTGGTTTTCCCTAGCATTTGTGAGGTCTGTGAGAAATGTTTGGATAAGATCTTTTGGTGCTGTTCCCAGAACATGGTTCATGTGATATCAAAGAATCCTGATGTTTTGCCAGGGAACTTTTTGTCATTGGGAATTTGGAGGCTGGGTCTGTAAAGGACTGGATGAGCTGCAATACAAAGGAAACTCCTGAGCAACCTATTCTGGCAGGCCATCTTCTGTCAAAGGCCACCAGGGACCTGTACCAGCAGACTCTGCCCAAAAAAAGAATGAGCAAAGGAGAGACAGGTGACAACTTTTAACTTCTGTAGCACTGCAGAGCTGAATCTGAAACATCAGTTGTCCAGGCCATGGATTTGCGCTGAAATATGAGTTGCTGGATTAACTAAAGGAGGCCACTGTAACCTTCCTTAAAGCCAGAGTGATCTTGTCTTGAAGCAGGGAGATCAAGGAGATGAAGACCAGACCGATGTGCAATCATTATATTCCTTCAACTGCAAAAATTAGTGACCCTAGCTGCCTGAGAAGTGGGAAAGAGGGGTTGTGCATGTCCTCACTTAAATACTGTTTCAGTAGCTTTACCATCTCTCTGCACAGCAGTCTAAATCAGTGGTTCCCAATCTTTTTTTCCACCTGTCATCCCTAAGTTTTGTTCACTGACAGGATGTTCCTGGGTGAATAGAAGGTAGCCATACTGACAGTTTTCCTCACTACTTCCATTCACCTCTTGAAGTCTGTAGTTGCAGATAGTATGTTTTGACTTCCAAGTAAATGCAAGGAATTTATTGTACCATTGCTGTTCACAGTAGTTACTTAAGGTGCAGTCTGTCACCACCTGCTTACAACATACAAGAGATGAGAAAGAAGCAGGTTTTCCAGAAGCCTTAAATTTGTAGCGATCACCTATTAGGTATACTGCGCACTCTTTGTGCTTAGTGAAGATGAAAAGGTGAGAATCCTAATGTATCAAGTTTATATAACTTACTAAATATTATTCTGCTTACTAATGCATATGTTATGTAAGAATTTCCTTCTTTTTTTTTTTAAGGTTTTTTTTTAGTTTTTTCTCCCCACAAATCTGCAACATTCATTAATAATCTTTGGTATTTACTGTAACCTGCATATATGAAGTATCAGTGGGGAGCTATGTTTGGCTTTACTGTGAACAGCTTCCCGTCTGACATACTGTAGATAGTCTCAGCCCTGTGTTCATTGGAGATGACTTACTTTGATTTTTTCAGTCATCACTGCATTGGGTCAACAGACAGATCAGCTGGAGAAGTTATGACAAGTGCATATGTGTACATATACAATAATTTATATAACCATATGAGGGGACTTGTGCCTAGAGGTCCATTTGATTTTAGTTTCAATGACCACCACCAGTGCCACTTAACTACTTACATAAATATAAACATGCGAAGATTGAGAGAAGGTTACATATTTTTAACTAGATATAGATGAGGTAAAAAGAAAAGTGCTGACATAAATCTGTAGAAAAATTCTTGATCTTGTGACTTGTGACATGATCTGCTGCTTCTTAGGTCACAGTGGGTTCATACCACATGCACTGTGGTACACCTAGAATCCCTGAGTAATTGTATTCTGCAGCTGCTGCCTGAATTGACAGGTATAATTAGAAGCTTGTTCTGCCTGATCCAAGTCTTGATGAACCTGGGAAATTGTGCTATTCCTCACATCCTATGCCTTTCAGTGTTCTTCAGTTGTGGATCTGGATTTCACTAGGAAGAGAAAGGTCAGCCTTCCCCGTGCACTTTGTGCCACTGGGGTAGCATAAACTTCAACGCAGTTCAGCTCACTCTCACCGGGGGAGTGCAGTGAACATGCAACAAGCACCTCTCCAGGTGGCCACTGCAGATGCTCAAAATGTGCCCCTAGGCAGGGCAAATCTGATGGCTCTGCACCCCTCCTGTCCTGAGAGCAAATGCAACATTCTTCAAATGATTTTCAGAGGGAACTTTTAGGGGAATAGGTAGGAAGGAGAAATATAAGATTAAATTCTCCTGGAGCCTGGGCCTCCAAGGGTATGTCAGTGTCTTCCCACAGCTGAAGAACTCCTGATCCAATCCATTTCCATTGGCCAAAGGTAGGATCAGTTACAATTAAACTGATACCAACATGATTGTAGCCTGTCTTGTAGCATCTTTGTCACTGGAGGTCTTTACTTTCCAAAGTAATATATTCCAGTGCTTCACTGTCCCTATGGGTTTTTTTTGTTTTATTTTCTCCCTAGTGTCTTATTTAGACTTTCAGTGCTCCATCCAAAGGACATTAGTTATTGTCCTTTTCATTTACACAGATGTCCCTGTGCTTTTGGAAGCAAACTTTCACATTACTGGGGATTAGTGACTTCAGCCCTCTTCTTTCTAGGCTCTATTCTATCTTTAGAAGTCATTATCTTCTACACCTCTTCTTTATGTTGTTGCTTATTTAAACTCTCTCCACCTTGAAGAGTGGTTTCCTAAACTGAATAGCATATAATTACTCAGCAAATCTTAAACCAGAATTCCTATTTATCCATCTCACAGGATTTGGTTGGGTTTTTTTCTCAATTGTGCAAAATTAGTGACATGTTGATCTTACTCTCTTCAAATCCTAGGGTTTTTTGTCATTGATTATTGTAATATATTAAATAATTATTAAAGGTGCTATTCCTTAAGACCGATATCAAATTAATATTAGATATGTTTATCTAACAGGCACTTAAAATTACTATTTTTCTAAATTTTAGGTTTAAAAATTATTGAAAAATGAGCCAGATTTGTACTGCTAATAGTTACATATGATGGCAGAAGAACTGGGTTTGGAGTCATGATGGAAAATGAGTAAAGTCCCAAATGTGTTCCTCTTTTGTTATTACATGAATGGCACACTCCACAATCCTCAAGTCCTTCTACTGAATCTCTTGCTCAGAAAGTTAAAATGAGGAAGCTGGCTAACGCTGATAAGCTAACTTCATGAAATGCAAAGAATAAGCTAACAGATTTTGTGCTTCTGCTGATAAGTCAAGGATTTGTAATGTTTCTAAAAATTACTTTATCTTTTTAAACAAAATGAGTCTCGCGTCATTTTCTTCTACTCATTTGCATCTTTTCACTGTGGTAAAACTCTGGTTGATCATCTTGGCAGGTTTGTGCTACTTTAAGGAATGACACAAATATATTAGTTTCTGCTTGTATGTTCTGGAAATAAGAAGGAATGTTGGGCACTCAATAGAATGGCATGAGTTGTTTGAAATTAGGTTTTGTCATGTGTCATCTTTAGTAAATAGTGCTCTCTTTACATGGGACTCAGGTTTTAAGTATGACTATTTGTGAATATGCCCCTCCTTTTCCCAGCTGAAGTAGATGATGATCATTTCACTCAGGAGGAAAAAAAAAATCCTATCACAGGGACACACACACACACACACAGAGGGAGACCCTGGACTGAAGAAGGTACAAACATCAAACAAATTAAAGGGATCTAGTGAAAAATAAGACTTAGAAGAAATGTAGTATTTTTAAGGCATGAACAGTAGTAATGAGAGACAACTGAGAGAAGTTATGTGTGCCATTTATTTAGAGTTATTGGAAGTCCAGTCAGCCGTTTTATGATCTCTCCAAGCTTAACAGCTCACGTGGTGATGTCTAATGGGTTTTATTTAAGATTTAAAAAGAGAACTGCTTGAAATGATACACTGAAATAAAACCATGACAAAGCTATTATAGTCTGTTTTAATGGAGTTGTTTATATCAGCAGCACCTTCAACTGAAATCATAACACTCCATTAAATATCTGCCTACATGGTTCAAAAGCATAGCAGAAATAGCAATACCACAATTATTGCTTCAGTTATTTCCCATGGAGTGATCCAGATACCTAATGGTATCTATCAGCATGTTTTAGAGCCTTGAGTTAGATGACTTCAATTCTGATATCTTACTTAGTAGCTTTTGGTTGATGCAATTAATCCTTCAGTAGGAACTTGGCCATTTTGCTGAAAACACAAGCAGTATTTTAGAGGAATGAGCTTACTGCCCTTTCACTACTCAGTATTCTCATGCCTGGCTTTGGTTAAGGAGCTTGTAGCCACTGCCTCTCCTCATTTTTGCTATTCAAGGCAAAAATAAACAGTTTCTACATCATTATGTGCTCATGGTTTTTAATTTTTTTTTTTTTTTTAAATAGAGCCAGTCTTTAAACAGAGATAGAACTTGCTATGTGCAGATTCCATATTTTGCCAAGGCCACAATTTAAAACTGCACCTCAGTCTTACCAGTTATTCAGGCTGTTGAATAGGAGATGAAACACCTGACAAAAAGCACATCTGCACAAAACCTTTGATGAAATGGGCTGAGTGGAAAGGCACAAGCTGTTGGAAAGAGTATCAGTTTATATCAGTAGAAAAATAGTGTTTGAAAGCAGTCAGCTAAGTAACTTAGCTTCAGCTATAAAGAATTCAGTGGAAATATGCCCTTTTTATATTCATCAGGTAATTCCATTTAAAAGTTGTGCATAATTTAGTAAGAAGGAAAACTAGGACTATAATCTGGGCACTTTTTATGTATCTTTATATGCAGATTTACATTGGCCATTAAGCTCAAGAAGGAGCCTTATCAAATGATCTGTTGGTCTGGCAAGCAGATAACATGACCTTAACTTATTAACAAGTTTCTCCTACTGGGTTTTTTTTTTAACAAACTTTTGTCTAGAAGCAAGAGCTATTCTCCTAAAATAGGAGATAGATATATATTTTTTTTTTTTTAATGCTTCATTCAGCAACAGAAGAGAGGCAGGAGTGCTTTTGGTTACTGTCAGGACATTCCTCCTCTACAGAATCTGTGAGGATTTGAATTAGTAAAAGAATTTTAAATTTCCTTACAGTTAATTTAATTCTTATAAGTATTAACAGCCTTTTACAGTTAAAAGTTACGGAAGCTGCAGTTCAGTTATTCTGGTGCACTCCACAAAGTGCCTTTCAAATCTGTGTATGCTTTCTTCTCTTCTGTTGTACCCCATACCAGCAAGTACGGATGACAAGTCATTAAATACAAGACAGAGAAGTGTGAGCAAAAAAAAATTTTATTAAATATGAGACTTACGTCTGACCTGCTTCACCCAAACCAATTTTGTCTCCGTGGCAACAGCCACAAGCGTGTGACAAAACATTAGGGATTTCTCTAAAGAAAAATTTAAATACTTAAAATGTCACTTATCGAGAAAGCATAATCCTTTTTCCTTAAGCAGGTTTCAAAAGTGCAAAGCATGTTTACAGGAAGACAAGGCTTATGGCTGTAAAGCTTCATCAGCTTTACAGTGCATTAAGTACCCTCCCCACAGCAAGCAGGGCCAAATGTTGCACAGGTGTAAGAATGGACAGACTGTTAACTTACCTTATCTGCAAGTGCTTTGGGAACGGGGAAGTATGTCTTCTGAAGCCAAGTTTAGAATAGCTCTGGTATGATAATCACAAATTTTATTGCATTTCCTTTAAATAAAGTCATCCAGAAGTACCTTTTCAGCTTACTACAAATATTTTAATAGTGTAAGAGGGGACAGACTCAAAATTATTCTTACCTTTTATTGCTAAATAAAATGTAGTCATAATGTAGATGAATTTGCCATGCTGGTGTATATTATCATTAGATTGCAGAGTACTGCATGGAAAATCATAGCCAAAGTATGCATCCTTATTTAGAAAATACTCAGAGGTCTGTTTGTGTATGACTTCAACTACTATTCAACATTTCCAAGTTTTATGAAATTAATATGCAGAGTTCTTTACCAGTGCAGAAATTCTGTGAATCCAACTGATACTCAGAAATACAAATCAGTTACTACTTTTTAAACTTCTTTAAAGCTCTCCCAAAAGCCATGTAACAGTGAAATTATCTTGTATCCCATACCCCAGGAGACCTTACCCTGTTACCTTACACAACTCATTGGTTCAACTGACAATTGTTTGTTATTTCAATATTATGCCTTTGGGGAAAAAAACGTGTTTAGTTTATTTCTTACAGACTTTACTATTTGTATATGAGTATGGTTTTGTTATCTGTTCACAGGATAAAAGCTTGCGATCGATTTGAACACCAGCATACAATTATTCCAGGTTATGAAGGAGTACATTATACTGTGATCATCAAACTCCAGCTGCTGCAGGAAAGGATAAAAGTAGTCCTACTTGCAGGTCTATAAAACTGACTATTATACTGGTACTGCTTCTATTTCTCATCTTTCTCCAGTAATAGATGGCATGGTAGTATTGAACATTTACAAGGCAAAATTTCTAAGTAGGCAATAATGTAGGAATGTAACGGGCTGCAACTCTAGTAGTTTTTATATTATCTTGGTTTTGAGAAATGATGGGTACTTTCTCCTTTTAAATAGAATATTGAGGGCTTTAACTTTGCTATCTGATAAGGTCAAAAGGAGCCTTGGAATAATTCTGTGTCTGCCCAGCAGCAGCTGACAGACTAGGGAGCAAGCAGCCTCCCCTGCATTCTCTCTGCACTGGGCAGCAGGATCTATGATTCTGGTTACCAATCCCTCCCTGTCTCAGCCACCAGGCTATCCAAGCTATTTAAATGGCTCCAATAAAGTATTCCTCAGACAATTAAAGGCATTCTTCAAGGCCTGAAAAGCACATAGTCCAGAGAGGACAAGGTCAAAAATAGTCAAAGACCAAGAAAACAGAACTAAGTAAATAACAGCACCAGATAATCTTCATGCCAATAGCAGAAAACTGGGAGGTTTTGTTGTTGCTTATCACAGGTCCCTTTTTCTTCTAGACTTTTTATGTCCATTTATATTCACTTCCAAATGATAACCTATGAATTGTTAACCTCAAACAGTAACAAAGCATTATCTCCATACAAGCACTAAAGGGTCTCATAGCTTCTCTGGCACAACTATGGATGCTGGGACACCTGTGGGCAAATAAATTGCACAACTTCCATGCACTTCCCTCTCCTCTACATTAAAACAAACTACCCCCCCCACCCGCCAAAAAAAAAAAGACAACAAAACAAAATAAATCGCCCCAAACCAACCAACCCAATACTGTTTCTCCATTGTTAGCAAATGCAACTACTGTGATAACCACACATTATACCTGTCTGGGCTGCTGTGTCCCAGTTGAACCTTGCCGTATTCGTCCCTGGAAGATTACAGTTGCAAGTAAACTGCAGTCTTTTCCACAGGAGTATGAAACAAGTTTATGCACCTAAAACTTGTCAGATTTTGAATTCATCCTGCATATAGTTATATAGCATCCCATTTGTCTCCTATAAAAACCTCTACCTCACTGATGCCACGCAGGAACAAGAAGTTTGGGGTGACATCTATAAGCCTATCATTTCATTGCCTGAGTGGTGACCTAAATAAAACTTTTCAGTATTAGGTTTTTCCAAGATGTAATTTATACTATGGCTGTCAGGAGTTAAGATAGTAGTTGCCATGGAGCTTTAATCTTTTTTTAGGCTTTAGTCAAAGGAAGCTGGAAATCAGTATGCTGGTAGAACCCTGCTGAACAGAATTTTATTCAAATTGGGACAGGATTTTTATCCTAATTTCTCTACTGAATGTTATTCTCAAATGTTCTAGAATTCATTCTATTTTCTTCTCTTTCTCAACAGGAGATGAAAGTTTCCTTTTAGGCTTCTGAAATCACACTACATTTAACCCAAAAAGTACCTAAGTTGCTTCCCCCTAGCTCCTCCAACTATAAGCTGTAACTTTCTTCTAGTCTTACTGTGCACAGCTAATCGCTGTAGTGAAATTCATTCACCAGCTTTTCTACTTTGAGTGGAGGCACTCTGTAAGTTTGCAGAGGCAAAGCTTTAGGAAGGATCTTATTTTTCTGTGTGCTTGCTAGGCGCTAATCTCTACAATAAAAAACAGGCCTTTGGGAACAGAAATTAGTTTGAATCTGTGTATGCGCTACTTGTAACTTCCTTGATGTATATATAAGAAAAAAATAGAAGCATGCAATGCATGAAGTGCACCTCTGAGAAGTACAAATTTGGCCACCCTACAGTCAGTAATGTTCTGCTAGAACATAGGTGCAACAGACAAGATACAGTTCAGTCTGCATAAATACCTGATGTTAAAACATTGCTGGTTCACTTAAAGCTCAACTTGCCCAGGTAAACCAAAAGAATGCAGACACAGGTGGAAAAAAACACAGAACCTGTCAAAATAAGCTTTCAGAACTCTTATACTACCCCAACCAGAAATTAGAAAAGATTCAGATATACTATCAGCTTGATCTTAAGAGAATTGGATTCAAAGGCAAATGACAGCTTCACTTAATGAAGAATTTCCAAAAATTTTCACCAAATACAACTTCTACTGGCCAGCTCTAGTGGAAATCCATAATCTTCAAGCTATTCCAAAGACTACAGAGTAATCAGAAAATTGGCACCAGAGAGAACTTCAAACTCTTTTCAGCTCTTTCATGGCATGCTAATAGTAAAAAATCCAAACATTTTTTCCTTCTAGGATATACAAGTCTGTGGGACTTGAACAGTTGCACAGTAACATCTGGTTTCACCACTGACAGCAAAACGTCTTACCTAACTAGCATTGGACAGGAAAACAATTTTTGTGAATCTGAGTGACAGTCCTGCTCATCAGCTTCGGAGTATCAGATACAAAAACCTGCAGTATTTTTTTCAGTCTGAGGTGTCAAAGACTTGCAGAGCTACTGGAGATGAGGCCTCTGAATAAAATAAGTACGTGTGCAGATAAGAGGAAGAACTCTAAGCCCTTAACTTGCTGGTGTGACAATTGTTAGAGTTTTGTCCCAACAGAGCAGCTGAGCCTAAAGAATAAAAGCCCAGATCAGGACTTTCAAGAATCACATCTGTTGCAGTCAGAAACGGCACAGGCCACAGAAGTGCCAAACTGCTCATGTCAAGTATGAATTCAGACAACCTTCAAGCTAAAGTGAGAGGCTTTTAAATGAAGTCTTCAAAGTTACGAAATGCCATCTTCTTTACAAAGGCTCACTTCAGCTCTGAAAGAATATCTAAAACAAAATTCTAAGATAAATTCAAGGCAGAAAGGGGCATTTCACTTACCACCATTCTGTACTAGTTTAGAGATTTGTCAGTACCACATTACTATTTCTGGATGTGTAGATTAGTTACAGTTTGGCAAGGAAATACAGTTAAAACTAGTTTAAATATAGAGGTATTATCACTGTGCTGCAGATATCAAGATGGCCTTACAATATAGATGGCAAATACGAAATCGTTCATTTTGCTTTCAAAACAGTAAACTTTCTAGTACGTGTATTTGTGTTTTGCTTTAAAGCTTGGTTTGATTAAATGATTATTTTGTCAAGATTAATCAGACTAGTCCATGGGACAATGATCAAGACACACTCTCGCTCTGATACCATTTCTTTTCAATAGTTTATGGGCACCTTTTGCTGCTGCTGCTGAACTTGCATTACTTCAAAACTGAAAGGCAAAAAGCAAGAACTCAGAAGTGCACCATATTTTCATGGGCTTCAAGAAACAAGATATAACCTAAGCTGAATTAGGATGCAGCAATTATTTTCAAAAGAGGAAGTGGTTTCCTGCTTAGTCACATACACTTCTATCAACTTCCAAAGTCTGTGTTGCCCAGATTTTTTTTTTTTTTTGCAAAAAGCGAAAAACTTACGTCATGACAATCAGTATGTATCTTGAAGGTGAACTGGTTTAGCAGTGTTTACTTTTTGTTTCCACTTCACTGGTGAGGTTCATCCCTTTAAGAAAAGGAACTCAACATTAAGAAGCAACATTAAGAGTTCTCTACTTACCTTTCTGATTTTTAATGTGCATCTTCAGCAATTACCATTGATCTTCTATGAAAATGGATGCAAACCCACAAAATTTGTGTTTGGTTAAAACAAACAAACAAAAAAGTGGTGAAATGCTAAATGCCAGATAAAATCAGATCTTCTCATGTATGTCTTCACAACAAGTTAGTCAGAGCATTTAAAAGAAGCAATTTCAGAAGCACCGATATATATCTGAGGCATGCTGCTAATCTGCAATATAAACTGAATTATTGCTACATTTGAGTAATTTCAGGTATTAGGCAAGCAAGTGCTATTTCCCCAGCAGTATCTTCACTGGAAGTCTTAAGAATTCATATTCCCTACTAGAAGGTCCATTAGCATAAAAGAAGCTATCTCTGCATTAGAGATATTTATCTAGACCACTTTCAAAATCTAAAGTTTTCTTTGTGTAACACTCCAACATACACTTCCTACTTTAGCAATTATTTCAGATGAACAATTATATAAGGCTCCCTGTTTTCTCCTCTGCATTGGAAAAAAGTGTTCTTCATTTACCCAGTGCAAATTCAAGCAATACTTTTCAAGATAAATTACTAATGTTAATAGTTACAAATTCTCTTGTACTTCGTTCTGCAACTTGAGTGTTTACTTAATTGATGTTTGTTTTTTAATACCATGGAGCATGGCCATTTTAGGTCAGCATTAATCTTCATACAATCTTCATACATACAATCTTCAGCCCTAGGCTTCCAATCAATTTTCCCAAGAAGGAAATTTGAGAATCATTAAGCCATAACAAATTAAAAAGGAGTAAAATGCACAGAAAACAACTTATGCCACTTATCTCCAACAGTGGGCCTGATCATTCTCCATCAGTAGCCATGATCCAGCCCCCTCAAGAAGACTGTCATTGCAACATCACATCATCCACTAGGCCTGGAAAGCACGGTAGAGATAAGGCTTACCCTCTCTTCTGCCTTCCTGATGTTCACAGCCCTTAGTAGTTTCCTGCAGGAGCTGTTTACTTACTCTGGCACAGGAGCACTAGTCCACTTAATAAACCTACAATTCCAGAGCAAAAATTGAGAATGCTGCCTTTAAAGTCCCCTGACATATAATTACTATTACTTGCAAGTGTTAAATCCTGTCAAGTAATCAGATCCTAACTGAGGAAACAAGCTCAGTATGTCACATAGCCTGTAACATGGAGTGTCCTGCATGTTGGCTCGTGCCATCTGGCCTGACAGCATCAAGGCTTTCTTTGTGTTTATGCCACGCACCCACAGCACACCCCGGCCAGCACAGCCCTCTAGTGGGGATGCAGGAAGGAGTTTTGATGGCATTCATCCATCCCAGCTTGCCTTCGCTCATCTGCCTTCTGGGCTGCTCTCAACTCAGCACAACTGCTTTCCAACCAGGCTTGGCCAGAGATGGTGTCACTTCTCACTCTGCGCTGTGAAGGGAAACCTCAGCAGCAAAGGACAGAGACCCACAGGGACTTCTGAGCACTTGCCACCCACCCATAGATAATCCCCACACCCAGCCCTGCAGAGCTGCTGTTGTCAAGCCCTCCAGAACTCCAGTACCAAGAAGAGATTATTGAGCAGGAACCCTAAGTGCCAGCCTTGGTACCCCACTCACTTCTCCATTAGCATCTCCTATTGTAAAGAAGCAGAACACCCGTTTCCATCTTTTTTTCCCCTTCTCTAAGGCACGGAGGTGAGAACATTCACTTGTAACTGCCACCCAAGTAGTGTGTTCAGATACTATCAGCATATATCTGGACAAAACTCTTATACAGCTTGTCAGAAACCTGCTAGGATTTGTCTATTGGCTCTGTGCCAGGCATGCTTATGCCTTTTTTTTTTTTTTTAAATTATCTATAACAACTTTTATTGAAAGCTTTTACCTTCAGGCTTTTTAGACAGTTGCCCAAGTCCAAGAAATGTGGTGCTATGCCTAAACCCAGGTGTGGCCACACACAGACACAAATACTGCTTAAGGTATTAAAGTTTACAGCCCAGAGAACACCAGTCATGTTTCAGCTCTCAAGAGATCAATTATGATGAAGATTCCATCATATTGCAATTTCTGTTCTCTGAAAAGTTAACATCCCCTCCTCCTTAGGGATCCTTCTATCACTTCAAGCTTTACATAAGCAGTGGCAAAGTATAAACAATCAAGGAAATAGTTATGGCAACAGAGAGATCATCTCCAACAATATCGTGATGCTCGACAAAACTCAACCAAAAC